GCATTTGAATTGATGAGAAATCTGACACACATCACAAGCAAAGACACAGAAATTTAGCCAGTTCCATTTGTGGAGCAAAAAAGAAGCAGCTGCCTACTCAACATACAAAAAACTCACCACCACACAGGGGAAATCCTCTGCAGTGTCAAACTCTCCAACAAGAACTGCACCATGCTCAGGACTGGGCCTGGCACACCTCATCTGCATGTTCACCTTGATGCTGCTGCTGTATCTCTACAAATTCACAGCAGAGAATGGGAAAAGCAAAGCCTCTGGGACCACTCAGTGCAGTATTAATAACACAAGCACTGTCAGTCTTCTCCACCTTGCAACACCACCTTTGCATGGCACTGCATTTCCTACAACACTGGTACACTCATGGAGTGCCTTGATATAGACAGCAGAGGGAAGGGATCCAAGTCCCACCATCACACAGCAGATGAGCTGGCATCTCCTGGAAAATTAGGCCTGTAAAGTAGTTACAGTCTGCAGAAGGCAAACACCCTCAACCTGGGTCAGGGTGAAGTTCACTGCTGACAGACTTTGCTGACCAAACCTCAGGGGGATGTGGCCACAGCAGAGCCCTGAGCTGGAGTTCCTCCAGGTTAGTCTGGGGGGTGTCAGTGACTGCACCTGCCTTCCCTGTGACCTGACTGCTGAAACACCCACCTGAGATGTCTCCAGAGCTTTTCACACCCCTCATTGCAAGGATGTGTAAACCCCCAGGGGAGGGGTTTGTGTCCCACAGCAAGGCAGTCCAGAGGCTGGAGCTGCAGTTCCCACCTGAGAGCACTGCTGAGCACAAGAAAGATCAGCTAATCCAGTTCCCAGCTGGCAGGATTTCTACACCCACATTCTGTCAGACTTTGCTCATGGTTCAGCTACCCCAAGCTATGCTAAATGTGTCTCCTATGGGTAAGGAGGGGGACAGACTCTGTGCTTTGTGTAGAAATTCAGCACCCAGGAAATGTGGCATGAGAAAAGAGAAAATGAAACCTCAGACATGAAACCTCAATATCTCCCCACAGTTATATTTACAGACTAGAAAACTACTATCATAGTGTTATTCTATTTTAAGGCTTTATGCAAATCTGAAGCTATTCTGGGTCTCCAAAACATCTTGGATATTGAATACATAATCTGAAAGTTGCAGAGCAAAGGGGAAAGCTCTGAGAGATTTCAGTAAACTGGAGATCACTCCCATTTCCCTCAGTTTCTCCACTTCAAAACCACAGGCAAATTCACCTAAAATTCCTGAGTATCTCAGATTATTGCCTAAGGTCAGCATTTGACCATGTTTATCTTCAGCCAAAGGACAGATCCTGCCTGACACCAAGTACTTCAAACCACTCTCCTCACCACAACTGCTGAGCAAATCAAGAGGCAAACCCTTCCCATGGCTGCCCTCAGCCACTTCCTCTTTAAAAACCAGACTCTGAAATGCCTACCTGGAAAAGAAACCCTTAGAAAAACCGGCTGATTTTTTAATTTTATTACAAGAAATCTGCAAAGGTACCACTGGGTACCACATTATCCCATAAAGATGTCAGCTTTTTAGTGATTGCAGCTCTGAAGAGAAGGCAGAAACAATAGAGCTCTGCCTTATATGTACAGTGGCTCCGTGCTGGCGACAGAGACCATTTCCCCAAATGGGCAAAAAATTGAAGCAGCTCCTCTGTGGTTTTTGAAAGAGAAGTGCTTTAAAGCACACAGCCCACTGTGATCCAAATGAAATAAAGCTTTCAGTGATACCTACAAGGCTTCCTGGAAGCAGCATCAGCACGTTGCAGCATTTATTTAGTTTAAAAGGATATTTTCACAGACTCTGAGCTTCCTGCCCTGACTTTGCTACACTGCATTTTGTGTTGACACAAACATCTCTTCAAGCTTTGGCTGCTGGTGGTTTAGAGGCTCAGTGCAAACAGGGAAGGGAGCTCAGGTGCCCTGCTCCTCTCTCCCTCTATTCCTGCACTCTGTGACCATGGCAGAGACTGAGCACAGCTTCTGCTCCATGTTTCTACTGCCAAAAAAGGAGCTGAGAGGAAACAAAGCCAAACACTCCTCCCTCCAAGATCAGCTACCAGGCTGCTGCCTGGCAAGGTGATGGAGCCCATGCTGGCCACAGAAAGAGAAGGGATGTGCCCTCCACGTTCCTGGTCCTACAGAAGGAATGTGGACCTTGGTACATGATGCCCAGGCTCCACATCCAGCCCTGCCTTTAGGCCCTTTGCCAAGCAGTCCTGGAGAAATAGGGAGGAAAGTGACTCTTATTCTGCTTCTCTGCCACTTTTCTGGTTACTTAATACTTCCAATTTATAATACTTTGGGCAAGGGATAAGCGCTGGTAGATGGCAGCTCTGGCACAGGATTTCCTGCTGCAGTTGTCAAAGGCTACAAAGACTTGAAAGATGAAGAGACATGAGCATTTCAATACCTCACACAGCTTAGCATTAGGAAATTGCAGCTGTATTCTCTTCTGACTGTGTCATTGTGATCACTGTAGAATTTTAATTTCATTAATGCCATCCGCTCTATCGTGTGTGATGCAAAAAATAGCTCCAGTGTCTGCTCACATTGGCAGGTACAAGCTGAGGCAGCCAAGGTCTCAATCTCAAGCCAAAGAAATGAGGGCAACCAGGCCCAGTGCCTGAGGAGCACCTTGTTCTGCCAAAGAGAAGAGCTCTGACACAGCCAGACTGCCCATTCTCCTGGCCAGGTGGATTTCTGGGAGCTTTTGGGGGCAGAAGTGCAGCAGGAGAAATCAGAAGTGCTGCAGTAGGAGGAGGTTGAAGTCATCCTACTGCTTCATTTGGAGCTGAGCAGCTCCTGCATCCCCTGGAGAGAGTCAGGGAGAGCAGCAGGGCTGTGGAACAATATCCCATTCTGCACTGGGAGTTATGCAAGAGCCTCCCAGTCACACGGGCAGAGGGGAGCAAAGAAAGGGCATTATTCACAGCCTGACATGGATGGACCCAGTTTAACACATGCACTTGGAAAACACTGTTCTCTCTGTTCAGTAATATTATTGCACATTCCACTCATTTTGATAACCTTTTCCTTCTCCCATCTACTCTGTTGACTGCCTGGAAAGTGGAGTAATGCCTTCTCCTGAGAGCTGCCAACATGCATAACTAACAGATTTTTCTTTCAAGATACTACTGAGCCTCATTTTGCAATAAATAATTTACAAATTCACACAATAAAAAGCTGGAGGAATTTAAAAGGGAAGCCTCTCTGCTTCACTTGACAGGGAAAGAGCACCAGGGTAGGAAATTGCTTCCCAGAATTTACCTAACACTCTTAAAATGATATATCACCAATATGCCACCTTTTAATCTGACCAGAAAAGGACAGCCTTGGAAAGGGATGTAGAAATAAGGAGTTTCAGTCCCCTATTTCAAACAGTAAGTCATGTCTTTGTATCCCTTTGACATGACCTCAGCTTTGGAAAAAAATCTAGGGCAAGCCCTAATTTTATCTATAAAAGAAGTATTCTAAAATCACTTTATACAGATAAAGCAGAGATGATCCCTCTCTGCTATAAAAACCCACATGTGGTGCTACATCTTTAACAATCTGTACATGCATTCATCTGTCAAGTGCCCTGGCAAATCCAGAAGGCAACAAAGGATCAAATCTACATGGTGAATTTGCAACTAAGAACCAAGCAAATTACAAGACCACAGAGGTATTTTGTCTTTTGATATGCAATAGCACTTGGGGGAAATTTCCTGAGCTTGTTTATGATTTACTGTCCTCATTTCCAAGAGCATCCTTGATGCTCTGTGCCACACAATGTCCTGATGCTCAGCACACCAGAAACATAAGATCCCACAGATGTAAAAGGAAATTTATATTTCATATCTTCACAGGACTGAAGTAACTTAGAATAGAATGAAGCTGACCTCTTGAGAAGCAAAACCTACATTTTACAAGGAGACCTCAGACTTGAAAGAGTTCTTACCTATAATTCACTTTCCTTTCCTGTCCCTGCAACAAAACATTTGGCATATTTTAGGCTTCAGCTTTTCCTTTTTCCTTTCTCTTTTGGCTGCCTTTTCTTTTTATTTTTTTCCTTCAAAAAATAAACATTTTCAAATGTTCTGGCTATTTTGTGTCTGTCTGACTCAAACTCAAGGAGGACAAAACTGTCCTTACACATTGTAATGTGGTGTTTCTGATCTACATTAGTGCATCTTCTGAGCAAATATGTAACTCCAAAAACAGAAGCTATTTAAAATATTTTCTTCCTCTTCATTGCTTCCTTAAGTTAGAAGTATTGGACTTGGACCAGTAAAATTTAAACTTTAAGCATCCTTTCACACATCCAATTTTGAATCAAACTAAAGAGAGAAAGTATTTCCAGACTGGATGTTTAAAATTAAGCATTAGTTCAAAAGCTTCACTGAATGGAGATCATAGTAAAAAAGCCACAAATGATTCTGCAACCAGCCAGCAACTGAGAAAAGAAAATAAAAGCCTTGTGCCATCTGTGACAAGCATGGATTCCAGGATCCTGCATCACATGGAAAGCTGTCCTGCTCCTTCATACAACTATGAAAAACAATTCTGGTAATACTTCATTGCATCCAATGACATTGGGAAATCTTTGAAGTGCTGCTGCAAGGGGAGGAAGTCTGGTTCTACCTGGATCACAGAGAGAATGAAAATGTGTGGAAACTGCAAGCAGCCCTCAGGGAGCCCTCCCAAGCCTGGCTGACACAGAACCTGGGGTGTTGTCAAAACTGAGCTTGCATAAACTCCTTTAGAGCCATATCAGCTCTGTTAAACTGAGATACCACCCACTAAAAAACCCTGACTGTATCTGTTTAGAGTTTTTATATAAATAAAGGTGTCTGCAGAGATCTCCCAGGTTTTAATTAACCAGCAGACTGACTCAAGGAAGGCATTAAGCCTCAGAGGGTTTATCCTAGCAGGAGGATTGAAGAAATAAACCTATCACATCCATGTTTACAAACAGTCTCCACCCTCCAGCTCACCTTTTCAACATCTGCTTTTGTCACATTGATGTCAGCATCCATTTTCTCAAAATACTGCTGTGCTCGGTCAGCTTCTTTGCAATCACGTTCAAACCGCCTTTTACTCTGACAAGAAAATCCAGAAACCTTCATTATGGGAAGAAAAAGATCCCAAATTCTGCCTAAAATTCATGCCTGCCACTAAAGCAATCTGTTGTAACAACTGAAGGATTTTAGGGCTCTCTTGTTTTACACTGGAATACATTTCCATATTTATGAACTTCAAACAAGGGAGTTACCAGAGGCACATTTTTGGTTCCATTATCCAGGCTGCTCATATTTCAGTATTTCTCCCTTTTAGCATCACTTCCACTCTTGTAGATGGAATCATTCTCTTCCAACACTTAACCCCTTCATTTTTGTAAATGAATGAGGGAGTTACTAAGATTTATAAATTTGCCAGTAGGACTTCTGGTCATTGATAACCCCTTTTCTATCCTCTCCTGTACTTACAGCCTCACTTTTCATTCATCACATGAAAGACAATTCCAATGTATATTTACTTTTGGGAAGCAGCACCTGGCCCAAGAGTCGTTCCTGTTCAATTTATTCACACATTATGAAGCTGTTCAACCAGCAGTGGAATATCTGAGCAGGACCCTTAGGGACTCTGCAGTTTCAGCAATGCTTAGCACACTTTTCAAGTCATATCAAATGAAATGCTGCTCGTGATAGACAAAGAGCCCACAGAAGCCAAATGTTCTGTTAAAACAGATTTTTTCAGGACTGTAAGTGTATTTAAGACAGCAGAGTTTTAAAAATCCCATTTCTACTACTTTTACCCATATACCTTTTGTTTTCCAAATAAAACATTTGGAACCATCTCTTTAAAAACAATATATAAATGACTTAAATGTCACCTCTGAGGAATTTGCCACTTACTGCTTCAAGTTGTTTCCAGCAAGTTTCAATGTGTTGTTGTGCCTTTCTGCCATCATGGAAGTGCTGTTTAGAAAAAGAAAAGAGAAAGAAAACATTTTGAACAACAAAAGAATGAACAGTCAAGTATGCTCAAGAAAAAGCCCAAGCAGAAATGATTCTGACAGCTGTGTTCTGCAAGGCTGGTGAATTGAGCAGGTGTGTGATGACTATCTAATGTCTCAGCAGGCTGCAGATGGATATTTGCATCAATTATAGTGGTTAGTTCGACTAAAGCTAATTAATCCCTTTAGCAATTCTACCTTGTATTGTTCACTGTATCTCATAATTATTGGTTTCCCATATCATGGGATCTGAAGCACTTTTATCTGATGAGTATTTCTTTGGTGACAGACTGAACACTGGCTCAAAATTAAAATTTCTCTCTACATGAATTTACCAAGATGCACTTGATTGGCACATTCTAACAACTGATGTTTGTCCTGATTTTCATTCAGACTCAACAAAAAACCCCTTTTCTTCCTAGTTACTAGCTGTGTGTCAAAGCCAGCTGCTCCTGCCTCTCAAGAGGTTTTTGGTGCCATGGGTCCCTCCAGAATCCCTCCTCTCCCACACACTGGGGGTGAGTGAGTGTAACACAAGTTTTAAATTGAGATGTCAGCTAAACAAGGAACTCCTCTCCTGATGTGCTTTTTGGAACAAGAATCTTAATTGCAGTTGGTTTAAGTAACAGTTCTTAGCCCTTACACAATGTTCTTTATCAAAGAATCTAATCTGTATTAGAGTTTATCCCTCTGTAGACTCACAGAATGGTTTGGGTGGGAAGGGGCCTCAAAGAACACTTTGTTCCAACCCCCTGCCAGGGCAGGGACACCTTGCACTGTCCCAGGGTGCTCCAAGCCCTGTCCAACCTGGCCTGGGGCACTTCAGGGATGGGGCAGCCACAGCTGCTCTGGGCAAGCTGTTCCTCCATATGCCTGGCTTTCCCTCAAGATCAGCAATTCATTCCAGATCATTGTAGAAATCAGTGACCCAGCTCTGGACAGGAATGTGAATGCAGACCCAGCTGACTGCCACAACAGGTTATTCCCCTCCACACACCACCCTGTAAAATAAATAATGAAGCAAACTGAAACAGGAAGAGAGAGGCCTTTCTTTTATATTATTTACTGGTAATTAGTTTTACTCAAATACAGGAATGGTGTCACAAAGTAAACTTGGAAAATAAAGGCCAGATATTGCCAGATAATCCCACTAGAATTCATGTGCTCTCACGCCCAAATACAATCAGATTTTACATAAATCTTAAGGAATGTGATACCTATGGTTTGTTGGGTTAAAAAAAGCTCACACTCCAGATCATTAACCTGCTACAAAATGCCACAGTTAGAAAAATCTGCCTGCAAGCACTTTACAGCTGGCAGCTCCTTGGTTCCCTGCATCTTCCACTACAGCAACTGGTGTTTTCCTGGGTCAGGGGAATGAGGGACATTTCAGAGCTGCCATTCTTGCTCCATCAGACATGACAGCAAAAAGCCCCAAAACTGCAATTCTCTATCATGCTATGTCCAATAGGCTCATTTAGTTTTAAATATCACAGTAATGTTCAACATGTCTGCAAGAACAGAACAGCACCAGGGCTGCCCTGGGTGCTATCTGTGGTCCCAAACACTGCTTGCTAAGGAGGGATGCTCACCTAGAACTGAGCACAGGGACATTCTACAGCTCTGTGTGTCTGGATGGTGCTTATCTCCACAGGAAAATTCTTAAAGCAGGCAAGAGAGGCCCAGTGGCAGAAATGTTTTCCATCCTGGCACAGGCCATGATCAGCTCTGGCTCTGCTCCTGCCCTCTGAGGAGGGAGCACGTGTGGCCACTGGGCCGTGGAGGGGGAGCAGTGACAGCCTGGCACTGCTGGGACAGCAGAGACCTTCTCCAAACACTGCCTCACCACACTGTGACATGAAAAACCCTGACATCACTGTGAAACTGCTGGGTGGCAGGGAAAGGCTCCAAGTTGATTTCAGTTCCCTTTGTAGATCCCCAAGTCCTTTCAACTCCGTGTGTGACAGATGCTGCCTCTTCCCTGCCAGGGACTCCTCGTTTCAGCTTTTGTCATTAGAGTTTAGGAAAACAGTCCCAAGGAACAACTGTAATTTAACACTACATTTTTCAACATTTTGCTAATGAGCATGAAATTCATGGAAGCCTTAACAGTGAAGGTGGAAGTAAAATGACTCTGATGGATTCATGCTGCCTTCCCTGCTTCCACCAGCCCCCATTTCTGTGCTCCCCACTTTGCTGGGGTAGGAAGGGACCTGATTTGGGAGCAGCTGGACTGTGTGAAACCCAATACTGTCAATGACCCATAAACCTCAGGAAAACAACATGCCAGGTTTGTTTAACAGGAAACAATTGCAGAGAGGAGCTGAAGGATGAACTTGGAAACAACAGCCCATCAGATAACAGGATGTGTATTTTTAAACCTTTGTAGTTGAATAATGTCATTTTAACAAGCCATCCCCGTTACTTCCAAATTTGTCATCTCTGTAAAACAAGCTGCACAAGCTTCTGGAAGTACATACAAGAAGCAGTGAGACTGCATCCAGTTCAGATTTTGCTGCACTTTGATACTTTTTTTTTTTTAATTCTTCTGCACAAATGGAACGCTGAGATGTAAAATGGGCATTGTTGAAGATTATTAAATAGTGAAATATTAAATAGTGATAAATGCAGGTGCATCACATCTTGAAGAGTTCGGGGAAATGCTGCTTTTTTTTAGTTCAACCAATTTCTAAATATTCTTATAACCCCTAATTCTTGCTGTGTTGTCCCATATATATCCTTGTTGTGAGCTAAGGCACTTCTGGTTTTGCAAATCTTTGCCCTCAAATGGTAATTTCTGCCTTCCAAAAATTCATTTTTATATACAGCACCTAAGTGGGACCTTCCAACTATCTATATTTCTTCACTGGCCCAATTTTATGGGTTAGAAAAGTCAAGGCACTACGGTCAAGTGATCTGCCTAAAGTCATACAGGAAGCCTCCAGTTTCCTCAAACCATGCACTATCTTCAACTTCTGCAAACTCATTTCCTTTACAATCCTCTTAAACAGCAAATGTCCTTTACCTTCACCTCCTCCCCTCCAAAACCCCAGCAAAAATAACTCCAAGCTCAAGAATTCCTTGATAAGGTTTCAAGATACAAGTTCTAATTTAAATAAATTTCTTTGAACAAATTAAATAATTGGTATGGCAAACTACCACTCTTGGTCACAGGCATTTCAGCAGCACACAGATGAATTTAGAGTCATTCATACAATATTGTTTTTTCCCCCTCCCAAACTGAATGTCCAAACTAATGGCCCCAATCAGGCTGTTTAAAAAAAATCAGAATATGAGCGAGATATTCAATTAATAAATCACACCTCAAGTGTGTCAGTGAGACATTAGCAGCAGTGTTGGTGGCTCACATGCCATGATTTCCACCAGACTTTTCACCCATTTCCACAGAATTCTAAAAACACATTAGAAGCACAGTAAAGTGAAAAGTTTGGGGTTATTAGTGTTCATTAAGTCAACCTCCCCTAAATCACCTTGAAGTCTGTATTTTGCAGTCTTTGGCTGGCAAACACTGTGCCAACTTTAAGATTTCCCTGAGCAATATTTTATTGAACTATTAAACCAACTAAATGGCTTAAAACAGAGCAGCATTGCTGAACTCAAACCATACATGTCCACAACTGTCCTTTTTCCCTGTGCCAAAGCCCATTGTGTCCCAGGGTGCTCTGAACAATCCACAATGGCCATGTTTTCACTGGACAACTCCATCCATTCCAGCTCACAGCATTAACACAATAATCCAGGTTTGAGGTGATCTCAGGAGAGTTCACAGATGAGTTTGGAAAAGATCTCCAAGTTTGAGCTCAACTCATGACCAACCATCATCATTTCAACCAGACCCAAGAGCCATTTGCAGTCTCTCCTTGAACACTTCCAAGGATGGTGACTCCACCACCTTCCTGGACAGCCCAATCCAACCCCTTCCATGAAGAAATTCTTCCTGGAATTCCAAAATTCAGTTATTTAGACTTGAGATACTTTTATCAGAGTATTAAGTCGCTCATGTGAGGACTGTGGTTTAACTCAACTTTTTAAAAGCTTTTGTTATATTCAAAAACCTCGCAGCTCGAGGAATGAGCTTTTCCCTTTGCAAATGCAGCCATGGGGATTGGTGTGCTCTCCTCATTAGGATGCTGCCTGTGTCTGGAACAGCTGGGGAGCAACCCTGGCTGCTGTGCAATCAAAGACAAACCTCTCATTGACTTTTGTTGGGCTCAGATTTCAGCCGTGTTGATCAAAACCCCGGGAGCAGCGAGCGAGGGTCCCACAATGCAGAGCCTGTTCCTGCCAGCACTGCCACAATTAGGAGCAGCAGGATATTTTTGCAAAACTTCCTTGGTATGCACGAGGGTTTACACAGCCCCAGAGCTCACCCAGCAGACAACAACAGCTTGTTAGAAGATGCATCTTATCTTTTTTTTTTTTTTTCCCCCTGACCTTTTGAGAGAAGCAGGAGAAAAGATGTTGCTAAAAGCATCTAATGAAGGACAACACATTCCAGTGCTTTTGCTGAGGAGTTCCTGGGTAATTTTAAATTAAATAATTGCCTGAAACATGTAAATTCCCAGCATGACAACAGGGCTCCTTAGGCTCTGTCTAAACTGATCCTGTGAAACCTTTTACAAAAGGCTGTAATAACACAGCCTTGTTTTTCTTAAACAAACAGGAGTTGATTACATGGTTAAACTACAGACTTGTAGATCTATAGGATGTTTGTATTAGAAATAATTATAAAAACAGTCTTAATTTATATGCTTAGCATATGGTTCATTTGACAACATCCTTTTCAAGAATTCTCAAAAAATATATCTAAGGCAAGGGTGCTTTATTCTCTTTTCTATTTACATGTGAGATAATAAAACAGACTGACAAAATAGTTACCTTTGGCTTCTGTAACAAGTACTCCCAGCTCACACTGATAATAAATAAAAATACAGTACTCCA